TTGGATTTGCTTGTGCCTGACCACATGGTCCAGTCCCTGGCAACGCAGCAAGGCCCTGCTGCACATCGGCTCGACACATTTGAGGCTGACACGGTGCTGCTGTCCCATTCTGGCCAAACTGAGTGTCACCTGGAAAATTACATGGTCCAGATGCTGGCAAGGCGCCTGGACCATACTGCCTATTAGGTAATGCAGTCATGCTTGATTGACTGTGGGATCCGTTATAGGTGGGATAGATTTGAGGCTGACCACAGTGTACTGTCATCCCATTCTGGCCAAACTGCCCATCACCAGGAAAGCTCTGGGGTTGTCCAGCGAAAGGTAGTTGAGCTTGACAGGGTGTCTGCGAAGCTGTTTGCATCTGGCAGCAGCTTTGGGGAACTTGACACGAGATGCCCATTGCACTTGGCCCAGAGGACCAGCCCATGTTGAGCTGCTCCGGCATCGTGACCGCCACCGGTTCTTGACACCCGCATGGAAGAGGGCCAGCGGGTGCGAAGCATCCTTGCATCAGCGCTGGGAAAGAGTTGAGCTGTTTCACTCAGAAGACACGATAAATTGAAGACATTGAAGAGATGAACAGATTGTCTAGCTAAGCCTAGCATCCATTGCCCACTGGGTTGAAGGCCAACTTCCCATCATACGGACCCTCGAAGCCATCTGGTCCAAAGGGACCAGGAGACAATGGTACTCGTGGCGCTCCTTGGAGAGGACCGACGCCGTTGGTCGGCGCACATGGACGGTGCACCCCAAACAAATGGTTGACTCTCCCAAATGGACCAACATGAAGAATCCAAAATGGTCAAGGGATGTCAATCCTCTAGTCTAAAATCAGACTCATGTGGATTATCTAAGGATTAACAGTGGATGTCGCCTGTGGGCACCGGCGAAGAAGTCTCTAGCTGGAACTCAATGAACCATCGGGTCTCAGTGGACGGTCACATCGGACTGGGACGCCAGTCCCAGATCCTTCCGAAGGATCTCATCCGTCTGTCTTCTTCCGGATCGAACCGGTGGACACCCAGAGCACCCAAGCCAAAGGCATTCATCGAATTCTACTCGTGTGTACACGTACGCACTATTGCAGCAGCATATTGAGTCTAGGTCTAGAGTCTAGGTCTTAAAATACCAACCGGACTCCTCCACACACTTCGAGGTTTCTTGGTGTGGAGTCAAATATTACATAGCTTGATGTCTATATGTTTTGGTGAGGGCGATCGCTCCTCTTGATTTCATCAAATATGAATCTCAACAACATCCACTGCATATCAAATGTGGTCAGGCCCCCAATATGTTAGCTGATAAGCTTCGACATACATGTTAGCTGTGCACTTCTACAGCTTTCTTCTCTTTACGGCCTTGGCAGTCACAGCCGTAAAATTTCTCTTCTCAAACTGGTCAAGCTGCTTCTTTTTCCACCATCCTTCCCCTCCTGCGACCGTGGACCGAACAAAGACGCGAGCGAACACGCTTCCTGAACACGCGACACCGAAGCACACAGGACCCTTGAAACCTGGCCCGCCAGGTTCGGCGCCGGCACAGTTCAGTAGGTACCTCACTCAAGTAACATGTCCAGTGCAACCAGAAATCTTCTAAGTTCAATCATGTTGGTTCCATCAATTATTGGTGGGATATCTTGGAACTTGTCAGTCAACTTTCCTGCTCACAGGGTCCACAGTCTGGGGCTGCAAGCTGGCACAAATTAGGCAGAAAGCGCCCGAAGCCACGAGCGCACATCGGGTCCGAGACCAGAACATAATAAGAAGCTTACCAAGTTGGAAGGAAAAACACATACCAATGCTTCGTAGGCTGGCCCTCCCTCCTCTCTGAAATTTGCGCAATGGATGTTCCATTTCCATGGTCTACCTCAGTCTGACCTCCAGGAGCTCGATCTTGCGCCCCGTCGCGACCCCAGTATGCATTGCTTCGGAACGAAGCGGTTTTTCCTCTCATCGCACCTCATCGGAGTTGTCGTCGCACATGAGGGTCTGGGTCGCCTGGATGGAGTTGGCAACGGGGTTTTTCGATCCATGAGCTACCCTGGATACCTCTCCAAGGTCAATTTGACGATTTCGGATGGTCAGGTCTATATCAGAGATACAACCAAAGGTCAACATCTTCAGTCTTCCTAGAGATTCGACCAAACTCCACGCAACGGAGCGAGCCCAACCGCGCGGATGGATCGCTGTTTTTGTTTGATGCCGTTCATTTTCTTGAGGTGTTCGCTGTCTTGCCACACACACACACAAACTGCTGCTTCATAGGTTTGCCTGCCGCTTTGGACCTTCAGTGCAAGAAACAAGTGTTCAATCAATGCACTGTTTCAGAGCCGTTTTTCGCCGTTTCGTCTTTTTGCCTTTTTTTGAGGGAAGTGTCACTGTTGGTCATTTCATGTCATTTCCCCATTCTATCCACAATCCAAACAAAACCGCACGAGATAAAACTCCGCTGCCTACCCAAAAAACTAAGTTTTCTTCGAAACAACCAAAACAACACATACCAGGACCATCCAATATGGGTGTCCTGGCTGGACTACCCTACACTACTATCTGGGATCTCCATTGGACACCCATTGGATGGTGGAGGTATGGAACATGTCTCAAAAAACAAAATCCTCCCGATCCTTCTAGTAACAAGAAACTACTAGGAGCAAAGGGCATCGCTACGAACGGAGCAAGGACGCTTTACGTTCGGGGCTCCTGGCCTTACTACTAGGAACAAGGACGCTACTAGTAACTAAGACTCCCCGCAAAAAGAAACACATGGTTCCTTCACTCCCACCTGATGTGCTGTCTTGGACAACCAGTTCAGCGCCTGTGCTCCATAACCTCCGCATCGGCCACAACGGTGGCCGAAGAAAGGGACAGGGAAGAGTGGCGGAAGAGTGGCAGGCTTTCCGGTCCTCAAGGAGACGGTCCTGCGGTCCTTCGGAGACAGGGAGACGGTCGAATCATGTTCGGATGTTGGAGACGGTCATGTGGGATTCGGACAGTGAAACCTCAGAGTCCATGGCACTGGAACTCCTGTCTTTCAGGTGAGGGTCCATCTAAACCATCTAACTTGGGGATTGTGCCATTCTAGTCACCAGTCACACTAGTCTCAATTCACTACAATTCATATGTGACCAGGGATCACAATCCAGGGGCCGTGGATGTGACAGGGGCACACCTATCCGACCTATCCTTCGGCACCACGACATGGAACGGTATACATCGGTTCTCACATTGACCCTTCGGGCTGCTACCATGTCTGCTTGGGCTCTTGAATGTTCAACTGTTAGCTACTCTCTCAACTGAGGCTCCAGCTCTTCTGAGCCTCAAAACCGGGAGCACAAGGGCGCACGCAGCTGGGACATTAGGGATGAGGCTGAACATAGATCGAGTCATCGAATAAACAAAACATATAACATGCTTGTCTAACATGCAAGTCCCTCCCTCCTCCCAAGCGCAG